AGACATTCCCCCCTGACGTGCATTAACATAGTCTTTGTTTGAGTATACATCCCATTGTCCAGTAGTCCTATAAGTAGGCAGGGCAAGCTAACAAGAGACCAGAAACTCACACTCACTTCCATCGAGTCTATTCTGACTCATAGTGATCTTAAAGGACAGAGTAGAATGGGCACTTTGGGTTTCTAAAATTGTCAATCTTTACAGGAGCATAAAGCTTCCTCTTTCTCCCACAGAGTACCTGGTGGGTTTGAAATGCCAACATATGGCTCTCAGCCCCAAATACAACTTGATACACTATTCCGATTCCATCCAACCCTTATATGGCTGAAACTTCTGGTACCCAGGAGGTTAAAAAGGGGTCCTCTTTGATGCTTGAAATTCTTCTAGAATATAAGTAAAACCTCAACTTTCAACAAAAATTAACATGTAAGGTCACTGATACTAGTTTGTGGTCATGACATTAGAATAACCTTTCAGGCTGCAGGCAGTTTGTCTTCTTTATTCAAAATAACACTTGCACTTGAATTTTAACAACAAGGGTTCTGGCAAAGAGACAGTGTTAGGATTTGACAAAGAACCAAATTCCTTTGTAATATTTTTAGTCAGACTGATAAAAGGACAAGCCCTTATCAAAGATCACTAGTTTGAAAATATTTGCATAGCAGAGATGTTGCTGGTACAAATTGTTAATGAGTTCTGCTGTTATCTGAAAGGTTGGAGCAAATCAAGTCCACCCAGAAGCACCTCAGTGGAAAGGCCTGATGATCTACTTCTGAAAAACATGCCAGTGGAAAGCCTAAGGAGTACAAGTTTGCTCGGACGCCCAAAGCATTGGTGTAAGTCGCAGGCAACTAACTTGACAGCAATTTGTTCAGAGTTTTGGTATTTAACAAAGCTCAGTGGTCTTGAATTGTGGTGCTGGCGAATAATACTGACATTACCAAGGATTGCTAAAAGGACAAGGCAATCTCTCTTGGAAGAAGTATGCCCAGAGTGCTCTGAACATGTTGTCAGGGAAGACTTGTTCCTGGGGAAGGACATCATTATTGGTAAAGTGAAGGGGACTAAACGAGGAAAGTGTTCAAGGAGATGGATAGACACAGTAGTTGCAACAGTGGGCTCAGGCATACAAACAATTGTTTGCATAGGGTTGTTATGGCTTGGAACCGACTTAATGTCACCTAGAAGAACAATAACAGTGGGCTAGGTCTAGTTCAGAGGTTGGATAAGGCCAATGACTAGAATTTAAACCAGAGAGGGGTCCAATCAACAATGGAGAGGGGAGATGCACTCAAACAGATGTGCACTGTGGGCAAGGCAACTGGAATGGCGTATATTATCTTCCATGGCCAGTCCAGCTACCTGTGGTTAAATATTACTGTCTACCTGCTAACCTTTCAGGGTTACTACTAGTTTTTTAGACCTAACATCCTGCTTGAGTACCTATTTATTTTATTTGTTTATTTATTATTTTTTACTTTAATAAATCATTTTATTGGGGGATCCTACAGATCTTTTAAAAATCCATACATCAATTGTATCAAGCACGTTTGTACATATATTGCCATCATAATTTCCCAAACATTTTCTTTCAACTTGAGCTCTTGGTATTAGCTCCTCTTTGTTCCCCTCCCTCCACCAACCTCCCACCTGCGTGAACCCTTGATCATTTATAAATTATTTTAATTTTCCTATTTTACACCATCCACCATCGTTTTTGTTGTTTGTACCTGACCCTGGGAGCGGAGGGATTGTACGTTGATCATTGTGATCAGTTCCCCCTTTCTCCCCCTTCAACCCTCACCTTACACCTATCCTCATGGTATCGCTACTCCCATTACAGTTCATAAAGGGTCTATTTGTCCTGGATTCCATGTGTCGAGAGCGCTTATCTGTACCGTGTACATTCTCTGGTCTAGCCAGATTGTAAGATAGAACTAGGGTCATAATAGTGGAGGAAGGAAGCATGAAAGTACGAGAGGAATTTTGTGTGTTTTGTCGGTACTATACTGACGCCTGTGTGGTTCGTCCCTTCCTTGTGACCCTTCTGTGATGGGATGTCCAATTGGCTACAGATGGGCTTTGAGTCTCCATTCTGATTCCCCTTACTCACATCACAATGGTTGTTTGTTTTGGGTCTTCTGATGCCTATTACCTGATCCCACCAACACCTCGTGATCACACAGGTTGGTGTGTTTCTTCCAGGTGGGCTTTGTCACTTCACTGCTAGATGGTCGCTTGTTTAACTTCAAGCATTTAAGACCCCAGATGCTATATCTTGTAATAACCCATCACCATCAGCTTTCTTCACCACATTAGCTTATGCACCCATTTTTTCTTCAGTGATCATGTCGGGAAGGTGAGCATCACAGAATGCCAGGTTATTTGAACAAAGTGTTCTTGCATTGAAGGAGGACTTGAGTAGAGGCCCAATATCCATCTGCTACCTTAATATTTAACCTATAAGTGTATGTACATAGACTTATATCCTTATCATTATGTATTAAGATATATACATGTCTATGTTTATTGCTTTATAAACGTCTTCTGCCTCCTAGGTTTTTTTCTCTATTTCCTTTTACTTTGAGCACCTATTTGGAAGACAATGTAATATATGTGTTAAAGATGACCAGATTTAGTTATGTAATTTTATTGGGACCCTTAAAAAGTACAATGAAGTAGAAACAGCATAAGGAATGATAGTAGACTGAATCACCGCCTGCCTGTCCATTTGCCATACTGTGGTGGCGTGCATGTTCCTATGATTCAGGAAGTGAATGCCAGAAGTATTTGACCTACTAGTAGGATTGACAGGTTTCAGCTGAGCTTCCAGGCTAATACAGGATGGGGGGTGGGGTGGGGGTGGTGGCGTAGAGCTTAGTGATATGCTACCGAACTTAGCTAATGAAAACTTGATGGATCACAAGACTAATTTTCAAGATGGTGCTAGAAGTTGTGTCTCTTAGGTTGGAAGGCACTTGAAGGATACAGTGGCTGTAACAACTAGGTGGGCATAACAAAGCTCATGAAGATAGGGCAACATTCTGTTCTGTCATGCGTGAGTTGGAGCTGACTCCATAGCAATGAACAACAACAATAAGATGAAAGGCAATCAACATGGAGAACATTTTTCACCCCTATCTCTATCAGGGACTGAATTCTCCCAGCCATTCCTGTGCTGTTGCCTAGTATTCCCTAATCTCCCATGATTTTCTCCCTTTCAAAGTTTCCCTCCTTGTAACACCGTGAAATGAGCCCAAAGTCTGAAGGTGTGACTTCACTGCCTGGGTGGCCTCTAAGTGGCAATGGAAAGTGGGGCCCAGAGCATGAAACCTGTGCTTAGGTTACGATCAGAGTCCCTGGTTGTGAAGTGGTTAAAATGCTTGGCTGCTAACCGAAAGGTGATCAGTTTCAATTCACCCTGAGGAGAAAGACCGGTGATCTACTACTGTAAAAGCAATCATTCAAACCCCTGAGTCTAGTTCTACTCTGGACAGAGAGTACCTGGTGAAGTTATAATTCCCTAAGAGTCCCTCAGTTGTACCAATCTCCCCGTCCATGCATCTAAAAATAGAGAAGAACCCTTTCATCTCATTATCCAACACCCCCCCCCCAAAAAAAAAAAAAAACAAAGAGAGAAAGAAATAAGGCAAAGGATTCAGACAGAATCCTGTCAAATGTCTGAACATTTTGTGTTTAAAAAAACCCACTTTCGGAGTAACTTGAAGCTGAAGCAAAGCAGCAGCCACAATTCAAACATCCCCAGTCTCTGCAGGATTTGAACTTCTGAACACCTACCCCACTCCACTGTGAATCCTTGAGTCTCTATAGAGTTCGCTCTCTCGCTCTCTCTCTCTCTCTCTCTCTCTTTCTCCCCACCACCCTCCCCGCCCTGGCCCTTATCCTCACTCACTTCACCCCACCTGCCCATCTTGGTGAGGTGATGCTAATTGATAGTTATTACATATATCTTTCCTAGAAGAGTTTGGTCTCTAGTCACCCCAAATTGCAGCTTTTAACAAGCTGGGAGTTGAGGGGTATCCCTGCCACCCAGATCCATTACTTTTGATGATAAGCAAATGTATTATTTTTCTATTTTCACAAATGTAACAGAAACTATCTTTAGTCTACAGGATGGGAATGTTCAAGAGTAAGCACACATCTCTCTTCAGTTATCTATTTCACAGAAAAGCATTCACAGTCTTGGAAACCCTGAAAAGCAGTTCAACTCTGTCCTACTGAGTTGCGAAGAGTCCGAATTGTCTTGTCAGCAGCAGGTTTGGTCTTTGAGAGGGATTGTGAGGTCCCTGGGTGATGGAAAATTTCAATGTGCTCAGCTTCTAAGGTTCAAGTCCACTCAGAAGCACCTCATGATCTGAAAAAACTCAGCCACTGAAAACCTTATAGAACCTAGTTCTACTCTGGTCCACATGGTTAGGTTAGTTAGGGATGAGATGGAGTACATAAAGTATGCCATCCCACCTGGGTCTGTCAAAGCTCTTGCTGAAGTCATGCTATGATGTATAAACTCCTAGGGCCCAGGGCACATTATGGAGGGACAAGATAAGGTGTAATGGACAATGACCTCAGTGGAACAGAGGCTTAGAAGGGAAGTGAAAGAACCTTAAATGTGAGACTCATGCTGCCAAGTTTGGCCAAACCTTCTGGAGGTACTAAGAAATCTGAAGAGACAAGTCTGAGTCTCTAAGACCCAGCAGCCTAATCAGCTGAATTGAGCTTGACCCCAGGCCCTTCCATCAGTACAGTCAGCATGGAGTTCTCGGAGGACCCGCCCGAGGCTTTTTGCAATCCGCAGACAGTAACTTGCCCTTAAATAGTTGGACGTGCCCCACATGACATTTAGTTCAAGCAATCTGAACACAGGCACCACAACAGACAAAATGTGCTCCCAAATGGGCCATTAAAAGTGAATAAATAAGCAAAACGTCCACCTCTTAGCGTGGCCATGAATAATGAGGCAATCTGGAGTTCTCGCTTACCTTCACTGCCACCAGGATCTTGTCCTGCTCTGGACAGAGGTTATAGCATTCAGCTAGGAAAACTTTTCCAAAGGCTCCTTCACCTAGCTCCCTTTTCAGAACAATATTATGACGCTTGATGTGCTGAACAACTGTAAAACAAAGCAGAGTGAACATTGTAGTTGAAACATAGTGGCCAAAGTAGAGCATTTACATCCTGAGCTCTTTGGCCTAAGGTAGCTCCTCTGCACAGTAAGTGCAAGGAGAGTCTTACTGTCGAGCCTCACCACTTGCCCCAAATGGCCAGAAGGAGATTCCATTGGCTTACCCTACAGATACACAATGATTACTTTTGATGTAAGGATAGCACCTTAGAAGCAACAGTACATTTTTTGTTTTGATTTTTAATTGTAGGCGCTTCCTACTTATCTCCCAAGGATAACCTCTATCCTGATTTTTGTGTTAATTTCCTCTATGGGTTTGTTATCATTGCTTCAATCCCTAAACCAGTGATTATTCTCTATTTTCATTTTTTAATCTATGTAAATGGAATTGCACTATATGTATTTTTCCATATCCTGCATATCGTTCATTCAGCAATGTTTGGGCATTTAAATAAAATTGTGTGTGAAGCTGTAATTCTTTCATTTTTACTGCTTTATAATAGTCTGTGGAAAGGTTATACCACTGTTTATCAATTCTGTGTTGATGGATATTTCATATAATTCCTTTATAGATAGACCTTTATAATAAATGCAAAGGATTTTTCCCCTGATAATTCATATGGTTTGGAGCTGTGACTGCCTCCAGGAGCCTCAGGGAACTCAAAGTAATAAAAACCAAAGGCCTTTTTATGTGCAACAATATTAACGAATAGAGTAACACACATTAATTTATCATGGCTTAGCAGCATCACTTGAATTTAAGAGGAAAAAAATGTGTTCATTAGGTAGAGTGTCCATATAAAGAACATGACTATAATTCTAGCAGAGAATTAGCTACCTTATTTAAACCTAATATTTAACTCTCTGGTTGTCACATGTTCATTGGTAATTAAAATGCCACTTGATTTACTTCACATTACCACCAGACCAAGGCAAGTTTTTAACATTACATTTTTTAATTTAAATTTTCATTACTCTTTTAAAAAATATTTCAAGAAGCATGGAAACGATGGTTAAAAATAAGTTTTAAAAACTGTTGCTAGAGTTACCAATTCATCTTTTTCAAAATTCAAGGTGACTAGACCAGTGTTTTCTTATTGACTTTGAGACCAGTAAAAGTACCTTTTTATACACTGGAAGATAAACAAGGGGTCATCTAACAGAAACAACAAAGCCCACATGGAAGAAGCACACCAGCCTTTGAGATCACAAGGGGTCGAAGGGATCAGACATCAGGCATCAAAGACCAAAAAAAAAAAAAAATCATAGCTTTGTGAATGAGGGGGAATGCAGAGTAGGGACCCAGGGCCCATCTGTGGGAAATTGGACATCCCCTTGCAGAAGGGCTATGGGGAGGAGACAAGCAGGTCAGGGTGCAGTGTAGCAATGATGAAATATACAACTTTCCTATAGCTCTTGAATGCTTCCTCCTCCCCATTATCATGATCCCAATTCTACCTTACAAATCTGGCTGGACTGGCGCATGTACACTGGCACAGATAGGAACTGGAAATACAGGGAATCCAGGACAGATAACCCCCTCAGGATACCGGGAGGTTGGAGGGAAGGTGAGAAAGAAAGGGGGAACAGATTACAAGGATCTACATATAACCTCCTCCCTGGGGGATGGACAGTGGAGAAGTGGGTGAAGGGAGATGTCAGATGGTGTAAGATATGACAAAATAATAATAATTTATAAATTATCAAGAGTTCATTGGGGGGGGGAGCAGGGAGCTGATGAGGAGCTGATACCAAGGGTTCAAGTAGAAAGCAAATGTTTTGAGAGTGATGATGGCAATATATGTACAAATGTGCTTGATACAGTTAATGTATGTATGGATTGTGATAAAAGTTGTATGAGCCCCTAATAAAATGATAAAAAGTACCTTTTCTGTAAGAAATGGGGTATTTTGCATTTGTTTGTTTCATTTTTATAATAATTGGGGGGTAAAATAAGTTTTGACAAAATATTCCCTCTGAACAGAATGAATTTCTCTTTTACAGGATTGGAAGCTTGGTAATCACATGGGTCATGATGTTTGCATCTATGTATTTCGAGTTGTGTCATCTTCATATCACACGTTAATCAGCCTTCTTCCAATCCTGATGTCATGTTCTCCTTCAGATAATCCATTTTATCAGATTGATTTTCTTAGAATACCGTAAGAACGGTGAAAGGATACAATCCTGACACACATCCTTCCTTTCAAAGGGGAGCTGATATCAAAGAGTTCAGGAACAAAGAAAATGTTTTGATGGTGGCAGCATTGTACGATTATGCTTGATCTAATTGAATTATGGATTATTATAATATCTGTAAGAGCTCCTAATAAAATGATTGCTAAGAAAGTAAAAGAAAATCAGCAACAGAGAAGGGTGGTCTGCGTAGTTCAGTCCACCCACTGATGGGGACAGTGAATTGTCATGCGAAAATTCTGCAAACAAGATCTTAGGGTGAAGGGTTAGAAGCAGGGTAGCCAGAGAAAATAGAGGCTCCCCAGCTAATTGTGAATTTCAGATAAACAGTGAATAATTCCTTTGTCTAAGTATGCCCATGCAGTATCTGGGACATGATTACACTTTAAAAAAAAAGCTTTTAAATATTGCTTGCTTATCTAAAATTCAAATTTAGCTGAGCTTCCTGAGTTTTCATTTGCATAACTCTGGCGACCATAGTTGGTCATGCATTAGAAGATGAAGTTTGCAAGGAGAAGGGGGTCAGATGGGTTGGTGCAGCTTGGAGAAAGACTTCTGAGAGAAGAGGCAAAGAAGAGCCTTGGAGAAAAGACAGGTGTTTGCACAGTTGCCCAAAAGGTGAGGGATCATGTCTGATAACCTTTCTCAAAAAGGTTGGAGTCTGAACTGCTCAGAATAGAATGAAATTAAGCATAAGGACAGGAGAGCAGACAGAAATCCCTGCTCACGTTTGTAAATCCCAGTCATCAGAGGAAGGCTTGAGCCCCTGGGGTTCCTTTCAATCCTAAACTCTTGTGATTCAAACTTTTCCTGTATAAATCTTCAGTATTTGTTGTTGTTGGTACCTAATTTTGTAAAGATTGCAATTCCCCTGTCTCGTAATGAATTTATATTCTAATGTAGCCATGAAAAAATATAACCCTGTGAAGGTGATTTGGTGTTAATGCCACTAATAAAAAGGAAAATTACTGTTTTGGTTTTTTGTGAAGGAAAAAAAAAGCACTGTTTCTCTTTGTTCTGCTCAAATGATTGCCTCTTGGTCTATGTTGCGGGTTCCATATGAGCATAATTAAGTATTCATAAATTCCCAACTTCCACAATGTTGTCCATAATGTGGTATCATCCACGCACTTAAATGCTGTTACAAGAAAACCCAGGTAAACACCTTGCTTGCTGAAAGTGAAGATGACTCGAAGCACTTAAATGAAGATCCAAGACTACAGCCTTCAGTATGCATTACATCTCCAAATAAATAAAATCTAAAATCCTTACAACTGGACTAACAAATAGCTTCATGATAAACAGAGAAGAGGTTGAAGTTGTCAAATACTTCATTTAACTTGGATCTGCAATAGATGTTTATGAAACAGTAGTCAAGAAATCAAATGATGTATTGCATTGTACACAGCTGCAGCGATTTAAGCTCAAACCAAGCACACAGCCATCGAGTTGGCTTAAACTTATAGTGATCCACTCAGAAGACCTCTTTAAAGTGTTAAATCACAAATAAAGTCAACTCTGTGGACTTAAGGTGCACCTGATCCAAGCTACAGTGTTTTCAACCACTTTATAGTCATGAAAAGCTGAACAAGAACAAAGAAGACCAAAGAAGAATCAATGCCCTTGAATTGTGGTGTTGGCAAAGAATATTGAATATACTATTGTCATGATTAAGCTTGTCTGTCAACTTGGCTGAGCCAGGATTCTCTAGTCTAGTTTATGACTAAATCATCCCTCATGATGAAATCTGCCAGGCAGTTGAAAAAATAGTTTCCTCAGGGGTGTGGCTTGCATAAAATATACATGGAGATCCTGGCATTTTGTTTGGTTTGGATCCAGCACCCAAGTCTCATAATCTGACTTCCAGTATTTGGGACTTGAGTCAGCATCCTGCCAATCTTGGGATTCCTTAACCCCTCCCTGCAGCTTGCTGCTACTCCCTCAATGCAAGAACACTTTGTTCCACTAAACTGGCATTGTATGATACTCACCTTCCCGACAAGATTGCTGAAGATAAACGGGTGCATAAGCAAATGTGGTGAAGAAAACTGGTGGTGCCCAGCTATCAAAAGGTATAGAGTCTGGGTCTTGAAGTCTTGATGATAAACAAGCAGCCTACTAGCTGAGAAGCAACAGAGCCCACATGGAAGAAGCACACCAGCCTGTGTGATCACGAGGTGTTGATGTGATCAGGTATCAGGCACCAAAGAACAAAAAATAATATCATTGTGAATGAGGAGGAGTGTGGAATGGAAACACAAAGTCCATCTGTAAGCAACTGGACATTCCCTTACTGAAGGGTCGCGGGGTAGAGACAAGCCAATCAGGGTGCAGTACAGCAACGATGAAACATAGTTTTCCTCTAGTTCTTTAAAGCTCCCCCCACCCCCACCCCACTAGCATGATCCCAATTCTACACTACAAATCCAGCTAGATCAGAGGATGTACACTGGTGCAGATAAGAGCTGGAAATACAGGGAATCCAGGATAAATAAAGTACCAATAATGAGAGTAGGGAGACCAGGAGGGTAAGGGGAAGGTGGGGGGAGAAAGGGAGAACTGATCATAATGATCTACATATAACCCCCTCCCTAGGGGATGGATAACAGAACAGTGGGTGACCAGAGACATCAGACAGTGTAAAACATGAAAAATAATAATAATTTATAAATTATCAAGGGTCCATGAGGGATGGAGATTGGGAGAGGGAGGGGAAAATTAAGAGCTGATACCAAGGGCTCAAGTAGAAAACACTTGTTTTGAGAATGATGAGGGCAACAAGTGTACAAATG